AACCTTCAGGGTGAAAATAGTTCGCTAGCAGCCTCGCACCAATTGATTTCATTATTTACCCAGAATGCTTTGTGTATAAATAAAATGTCCCCATCAGTGTACTATATTTTTAAACTTTTAATATACAAATGATAAAAACTAAACAGCCTACAGTATTTTTACAGTCTTTATTTTACAGTTAAAATATATGTTTATTAAATATAGTCTAATTTTACAACTAATCGTGGATCTCTAACAACTGCGCATGTCAGTGCTTCTATTCTGAATAAAAGCCTGGTGCATGTAAACACTCGTCATGATTGGATTGTGCCCATGTAAACGATACATTCCGATTATTTACTCCGAACACATTTCAATCTGATCAAAAAAAAATTGCGCATGTAAACATATCTAATGTCCAGAATTAATTGGAATTGGGGTTATAGTTTACTGAATAAATAAAACATAAAATAACCCTTAAGAAATGTATTAATTTTATGGGTTCTTGTTGTATGCAGGTGCAGTTCCAGCTGATGCTGTATATTCAGATGCAGTTGTGTGAGCGCTCGCTGAAGGACTGGATCTCTGAGAGGAACGCTAAGAAACAAATTTCAATCTGTGAGTTTTTTTTACAGGTTTTATAGTAAATAAGTTTTTAGTACTGTGCAGACCCCATCTACTGATATTTTTATTATCTTTTACTGTCCCTCAGTGGGGAAATGCATTCTCTGCATTTGTCCCATGACACATGAGCACAGTTATTGAGCAGTGGGCTGCCATTTTGAGGCACCCGGGGAGCAGCTGAGGGGTTAAGAACCTTGCTCAAGGGTTGGAACAAACACTGTGAGATCATGTTGGCTCTGAGCCACAATGAATTTTGAACAAAACATTTCAGAAACAAACATCTCCTAAACTCTTCATCCAGTTTTAATATGGATACCCTCAAATGAAAGTTGAAAGTCTGGACTTTATATCCATGTTAAATAACTATAACTTGAATGTGTTTCATCAAACTGGTAAAAATAAAAAAAACAACTTTGTGTCAGTGTCCAAATAGATATGGACCTAGCTGTAGCTATCACACACAAAAGTAGACCAAAAGAGCAGTCCTACATAATTTTAAGGATTAGTTTTTAATAAATGTGTTTTACTTTTCTATTTTCAGCTCCATATGACTGTGTTGATAGCGAACACACACTAAGGTTGCTGAAAAACATACTTGAAGGAGTGGAGTACATTCATTCCAGAGGCATCATGCACAGAGACCTGAAGGTAACATTCATTTTATTATTTCAGCCTAAGCTTGAGGTGTAGCTTCACACTGACTGTCATGCACAAAAGAGATGTCCTCAACCTCCCAGCGATTGAAGACAAACTCAAAGAGACTTACAGGCAAGACTTTGCTTAAGTCCTCTTTCCTTTCACCGACGTATTTCAGGTAAATGTTACTCTTGCAAATGTGCTGCAGTGTTCTCGGCTGTCGCATTAGTTTTAAAAGTTGGTCCCGTTGTTTAAAGAAACATGGTTGAGTCAAGGTTGAAGGTAAGCAGCCGTTCTGGTTGTAGAGCGTGAGCGGGGAGGTCAGGCTGAGGAGTTTGATCAGCAGCATGTGATTCTTCACATTTGGTTTGTG